GACTCGAGAGACTTGTTTTCTTCTTGAAAATTTCTTCTCTTTCAATTCCCAGGACACAACTCTCTCGTGATTTTCCTTCTACTTTTAATAAGAACTACCATTTATGGAGCACTTATAAGCCAGGCTTTATATGCATTATCTCATTTAATCCTCCCCTTCCTATGAAGTAGGTACTTTTATTAGCTGTACAGGTAACTCTTTACAGACAGGTTAAGTCATGGGCCTAAATTACATAACTAGTGGGAGCTGGAGTTAACATCAGGATCAGGACAGCCCTAGTCCTGAGTCCCAGCCCACTGCACTTACAGCCTCCAGAGAGCTCGGATGGTTTCTGAGTGGTCCCCATCAGGCTGCACCCTGCATCACTGCTCCAGAATGCTTTTCCACCTTGTAGAACATGCAAATGGTATCCTTCTTTCTTAATTTCTTCCCATGTAAGTCTCTATACAGCTTCTGAGTGATCTCTCTCAGCCTGTCCTGAGCTCCGCTTCCCTCTGAGGAAGCAATGACCATACCGTATTGTAATGGTCTATTTGCTTGTCTGGTTTCCCAACCAGGCTCTGAGCCCCTCCAGGACAACTTAGTTTCTCTGTCACCTAGTGTGCCTGGCACATAGTAAACAGTCAAAAATGTGAATGGAATAAGTAACTTCCAAAGGAGCCTAGATGTACACGTGCATGGCCATTGCTGAATGAAGTATACTGTGCGGTGTTGCCCACCTGAGTATTTAAAAACCTCCCTCTGAGCCTGTGATAGAGAAACCTGGTTGGAGGGATTCTTTTTTTAGTCTTGTAATCCTGTGATTTTAAAGTTGGGAACAGTGCTAAGGTCAAGAAATAAGGGGCCGAGTGCTCTGGTGGGTTAAGAGTGCTGATGGCATGATGGCATTGTGCAGATCCATATTCACACCTCAAGGTCAAGGCTGAGCCAGGTGGGAGGGGCTGACGGTACAGCAGCTGTTTCTCCCCTCCCTGCCCCACCACAGTTTCTGGGCAACAGTCCTTCCTCTACACTAGAAAGTTGTGGGATGTCTTAGAGGGATGAACAGGGAGCTGAATGAAGGTTCTCTGTTCTCTAGTTGTCATGATGTGTGGTGATTCCTGCGGAAGGGAGCCCAAGAACTCGCCTGCCATAGGGGAGAACAGGCCCAGGGGGAGCCAGTCGGCTCTGTGTCCACCAATGTGTTTGCTTCCCTGACAAACTTATAAACTTACTGGTTGCTGTCCAGGATGGAAGCCACTAGGCACATGCGGCCATGGAGCACTTAAAACAAGGCTGGCATAACTGAACTAGTGCACTTTTAATTTTGTTTAATTTTAATGAATTTAAGTAGCCACATATGCCTAATGGTACCATATTGCCAGGGCAGCTCCAGACAACTTCCTTCATTCCTGGCTCTACCCAACAGCATTGTTCTAGATGGTTCCTGCTTTAATGGCAAGCTTAGCATCACTGAGAGAGGAGTCAGGAGCATCTGAATTATGTCATGTCATACCCAGTGTGGAGCTCTGGCCGACTTGAAAAAGAGATATATATTCACACGTGGAGGCACATAAATACACATACATCTCCATCCCGAGTGGCTACTAGGGAGGTTTCCGTCCCTCCTCTTCCCAACTCTGGGTTTAACTCAGAGGTCTATTTTTACTTAAGTTTTTGCTATTTCTCCCTTTTCCTTTAAGAAGATGTTGTTTGACCTCATTGAAGGGAAAGTTCTGTAAGTGTTGCCAGGGAACATCAGTGTATCTTTTCTACATCTGGCACCTCTGAGGGACTCTGTTCTCTAAGGCCTGAGACTATCTGTTTTGCAAATATGGGTGAGATAGCCACATTCCTACCCCTCCAATTTTTGATCCCACTAGAGGGAAGTGACTGGGGAAGGCCGGGCCATTGCCTGCATCCATCATTTCTGAGTGATGTCTGAGCCAGGGTAGTACCTAATGTTTAGAAAGTAACTGTCTGACTCCAGCAAGTAAGGAGACCAGACATAACTTTTATTTTTCAAAGTATTTTATTTAAATAAGTTTTTCTTATGTGTGTATTTGTATTTTACAGAAAAAAGAAATACTGACAAATACTATACAGCTGGGGCCATTTATAGTCTTGAAAAGGTTACCACCTTTTCTCTACATCTTCCCTCCCCCTCCCGCCATGAAATAAAAAATGTGAATCCATTGAGCAATGGAGGCAGGACCTCCTCTGAGGGTCCACTGAGTCTGGCTAAAGCTGTTCAGAAGTCCAGGCCTAGGGCATCCCCCTGTGCTGGTCTAGGAAGCCTCTTCTTTAAGAAAAACCTTCCCAGTTAAGTAGGCTCCCGTCCTGAGGTCCCACTGGTGGCTAGTGGTGGTTCTGGGACAGAAGCTGGGAAGGAGTAAAAATGGAGAAAGATAAAGGGATGGGGCCGCAGTGGTACAGGGACAAGAGGTAATAGGAGAAACATAATACATGGAAAGACGAGAATAAAGTGGGAGAAAGAGAGTGGCACCAGCAATGACCTCAGTCTCCTTTCATTCAACAAACATCTGAGGACCTACTATGTGCCTGGCACTGTTCCAGGTGCTCCAGTAAAGGTGGGCGGGGAGGCTGGGCTGGGGAACAGGTAAGCCCATTCAGGGTTTGGGTCTTCTGGGTCCAAGGCAATTAAGCAACAGAGAAGTGGGTCTCTGGGTGGTTGTGCCTGGAGCTAGAGCAAGTCTACTTCGTTAGGAGACAGCAGGAGTGCTGTACCTGGACAAAGGCCTTGTGGTGACAGTGACAGCTGATTGCTGTCTTAATTCAAAGGGGCAAGCAGTTGTCATGGAAACGATGTTACTTGTGTGGTCCCTGATCCTGCTGATTCACTCTCCTACAACATATGTGACACCCCCTGCTCAACTGTCAGCCTCTGTGTCTCCCCATGTCATCTAGTTTGGGGGGGCCTGAGAGGTGGAGACAGGAAAGGGGGCTCATCCTGGTGGGAAGCAGGGGACATGCTGGGGTGGCTAGTCCTCATGTGATGCAAAGGGGATAGCCAGAGGCTCCATGACAAGCTCTTTATGTGACAAGGGAATAGAAATCAGGGGGTCACAGGGGCTTGTGAGTGGGGGCCTGAGGGCCCAGGCAGTTCATGGTCACCTGTGGTGAATATGACTGGTTTTCTAAAATAGATGCAGGACTGAATTATGGTTCACAGGGTTACTTGTCAGACAACCCTGGCCCAAGAGTCACCACTAGATGCCTGCCCTTCTGGGAGTTGGAGTACACCTGGAGGGCAGGTGAGGACCAGGTGATCCCATCTTTCCATTAACACAATCTTATAACAATTTGGTTCTTAATACTACAAATATAGTAGTTGAGCTACATTATTAATTAGACAGTGATTTTGCCACTGTTTAGAACAGCTTCCTGGGAAAATATTTCAGGAGCACTGCCCAGAAAATTTGCAAATAAACTTTCAGAGCACAACCTGATCCCAAGTTGAGAATTGTCCATCTCTATAATATGCTTGCAATATAATCAAAATGCCAATTAGTTCATCCTACAAATGGGTTAACTCTGCCTCCCAACCTCAGCCCAGTGGGGAGAAGCTCTTCTCAACCTCAGATCTTGTTTACACATCTTCAAGTACCCTCCATAGGGCACATGTGTCACCTTGACCACTGCTCCTACACGTGTTCTCTGGCAGGATTCAACCTAGTTTCACCCATTGCAGCAATTAGAGGGCTTATTTAGAACAGAAGGTCACTTGGGGAGAATTGGTGAGGTATTATGAGTTTACCCTAACGTCATCACATATCCAACAGCAACCACAGATAGTTATGAGTACCTACTGTGTGCAAGGCACTTGCCTGAGCTTCAAGATAAATATTAATAAACCTCATTATAGCATCATCCTATTTTCCTTTAAACTTCTGTGTCCCACCTGTAACATACCATACACCCATTACAGCCTTATAAAATTGTTTCCAGCATGCCTTCTGTGAGACTGTACCGGTGATTGTCTTAATCCCTTCCCTGCTGGAAACCTTTGGTTACATAGGACATACCCAGCTCAGGGTAGCATCTCCTAATCGTTTCCATCTGTAAAACAGACACTGCACAGGCAAACCATTGCTGTCCACCAAAGTGAATGAATGAATAGGTTTCTATAGCTTTCTAGCAGTTGCTACCAAGAGCTATTGGTTTTTGCTTGGAGAAGTCCGCAGTGGTGACTGGTTCTGGGGAGAGCATCTCAAAGAGCAGTTATAGACCACGTTAAACACGTATCAGTGGTAATGAGGACTTTGTCATGAGTTATGAGAAAAGAGGTTTTGATGAATTTTGATCCATCACACTTGAAATACTTCAGAACAAGTGAGAGGCCAGAAGCACAGGAACTTGGTGTGTCTGTATCAACATACACAGGGGTGGGGCTGTACCAGCTTGCTGGAATGTCCAATTATGAGTATTTCCAGGAAGAGGTTATATAGAGATAGACATAGGAAAGCACACATCTGGAACCTGAGTGGTGTATGGAACATACAGTGCATGGGGCCTTGTTGGGTTCCATAATTGTACATATATATGCTTGAATCCAGCCAGGCTTTCCATGAGATATTTTTGCAACTGTAGATGATATGCTTCCTTGCACAACGACCATCTGATGAACAGAATATACCTGCCCATGTACTTGTTGCCTGAATTTTTGTGTGTGTGTGTGGTGTGTACATGAAGATGCCTGGATAAATGCTCTTTGTGCTTTTAAATTTATGGTCTCTGCCAGAGATAAGTTGAAGGCACACCTGGGTCTGCAGTGAAGAGCTGCTACTGGACACATAGCTGCCAAGACAGTGCTCAAGAACTGTCCATCCATGTGCTCCCTGGGAGTGCCCTCAACTGGGACACTGAGTCTGAGATTTGTTCCTCGGTTGAGTAGTTACTCTGGGCACATGAGTATGTCACTTCAGGGATTCCTGTTTCTTCATCTGTGTGTCACTGGAAGAGACAGCCCCAGAGAGGGGACACCTCTGCCTCCTGCCTAACTAGACAGGCAGTGATGGCCTCTTTTCCATCTGGAGAAGCTTGGGCTGAGCAGAAATCCAGAGGTCTTCTTCATCCTTCTTCTTCTTCTTCCTCTTGTTTCTCTCTGGCTGTTGGCCGCTCTTGCCCTGTCGGCTCCAGCAGCAATGGCAGCAGATGAAGAGGAGTGTGATAATCACCAAGATGGGCAGCCCCAGGATGACCCCCAGGCAGATGGTGTTGAATATGCCCTCTTGGTGTTTGGTCGAGATGGTATCCCAAATAGTGTTCAAGAAGGAGCTGATTCTCTCCATGGTGCTTGGCTGGATGGGGGCCAGAGAACCCTTCCAGTTCACTTCCAAGTTCTGGACTCAAAAGGATGCAGGCTTGACTGCTTGTAATTTATTCCTCTTCCAGCTTTGGGTTTAGGCATGCCACCGATGGCACCTGAAGAGATTAAAAGAGACAATTCAAGAGAAATGCAGTGGGAATGGTCTACATTTTTAATAGCATCATAGATTTTAGGCTTAGGAAAGAGGAAAGAATTGAAGATTTCCAGAGTTCACTAAAATTGTATTGAGACTCAATAAACAAGATAAATACACATGTTAGGTCAATAAGCATCAGCGAATTCTTACTATGTACACACATTATATTGGACTTAGGATATAAAAATTAATAGTGTTTCAGGTCTGGCATGTAGGAGGTACTCATTGGTTACTGGATAAATGAATCAATGTGTGTTTGCTCCGTGTTCTGGTCAGGATTGGCTTCCCTGACCCTGGACAACAGCAGTTCTCAATCTTTTTTTCACTGCAGCTCACTGGACTGGTGTTGAACACACACTCCCCACAGGACAGTTTTGTACATGACCTTCTAGTAACCTTTTCAGTGCTTGTTACAGCTTAAGCACAGATGGAATGTCTACATCTCACTGCCTGTGCTAGGAGACGTGGGTCTTATCCAGGCAAAGTGCTCAGTCCTCACCCTGGCTCACTCCTGGCACTCACTGTCCCTTATGCTCCCTTCCCTGTTCTGTGCCTGTGCCCCTCTTTACCTCCCACTTCTGTGCCTGTGGTGTCCGCTCCTCCTGAGGCTGGGAGAACCAGGGGTGACTCCTCACTGGATCTGCTGTCTACCTGCCTCTCCCTCACTGCCCTTGCCTCTGCTTTCCATCCCTTGACCCAAGTCCCTGCCTATTCCCTTTCTTCTCTGTGGGGAAGGAGACTTGCAGGCTGCTTAGTGATGTGTTTGGAAGCCAGGCTGGGGGCCTCTGCTGCCTTTGAGCTCCCGGCCTCAGTCCAGAGCACAGAGAGGACCATTCTGCTGGTTGCTTGTGCAGAGTGGCCCTTTGTCATCCCTCCACTTCTCCAGGTGTATTGTAGGACTCAGCTCTCAAGTATCATCAGGTCTTACAAGCTCTCTTCAGTTCCAGAATTACTGGTGCTTGTGTCTGAACAAGAATTCAAGGACAGGAATGTTTCAGAGAAATTTAAGAGACCTCTCGGGCAATATATTACCCTAAACCCAAATACCAAGGAGTCATTGATTTTTCAGGGTGGAGACTTTAGAGATCATCCTGACCAACACTCTCACTTAAAGATGAAGACTCTGGGGTCCAGAGTGGTGAGGTGACATATCTGAGGCCACACAGAGCTGCCATGAACACCCTTTACCTCTGGACAGCAGGTCCAGCACTTTCCCAAGGCTGCCAGGCAAGAGGAGGAACTAAGGATGATAATGATATTCTGTTATATTTGTATTTAACTAGACACTTTTCTACTCACCTTCAGGAGCATTTTGCCTTTTAACTGAGGAACAAGATGGTGCTGTGTTTATGGAAAGCGGCCCTGGGGGGCCTGGGCCCAGAATCCAGGGTAGGCTCAAGCTTGACTCTGTTGCCCTGGCCTGGAGCATACACACGGGGCTCTCCTGGGGGTGTGTTATGCGTGGTACCCAAGGGTTGTCCTGAGAAGTCTTCCCAGATAACATAATCTTACTAATGTCCTATGTTCCCAGTGCCCAGGTGCTCATCAAGCCCAGCTGGCCTTAGTCTCAGTCTGCTGGCCTGTGGCCACACACCCTCATGACATTATTTATACAGTTGTCGAATGATAGCAGTTGATACCTACTACTGTGCCACTTGACCCACACAGCCTGAAGTCATGCTATAAGATGGCAATAATAATTATTAATAAGCACGTCTCGTATGCCAGGCACTGTTATAGGTGCTTTACACTTATTTAATCTTCACTACCACTTTATGAAGTAGGCACTGTTATTCCCCCATTTTATCACCAAAGAGATGGAGACACAGGTCACACAGTGAGCGGCAGAGCTGGCCTTGCTCACTCTGGCAGTCTGGCTCTAGATCCCCATGTGGCGAGCTGTTTACACGCACTCTGATACCTCTGTGCGGAATTAGCCCATTTTTGGCAAGCAGCCCAGAACTTAGGGAATCTTATAATACTTGACTATTCCCTAGATTGACTTAAATGGTTATCCCAGGCTATTACAGATAAGATTGCAGAGATTTAGATCCCATTGTGAGATACTTCCTAAATGCACCAAGATACATAAAATAAAAACCAAGTCCTGCCCAAATGCAGGTTTATTGAATGTATATGGTGCTTGAACTTAAACTCAATGTGTCACAAAGGAAAGTATTCTGAGAAGTCATATGCTCTCGCGGGAGGCTCTACCCAAGCCCCTCTGGGGGCCTGGGAACGTCTCAGGGTGTGGATCTGCCCACATGCCCCCAAGCCACCAGGCTGTCTGTGGAGCAAAGCGACCCTTGGCATGCCCAGACCCCTGTCCGTGATGCCCCCTCTCACACCACTTGTCTCTGCTGCATTTTCCTTCTCCCTTTGCCGTGACCTTTGCTTTTACCTCAGCCTGGTGTGACCTGGTATTTTGTGTCCTATTAGAGGGATATTTCTGCTGTGTTGTGGGAAGACGTCGGGTGCTTTTCTCCAATTTGATCTTACACTTAGCATTCTTGATTCACCTTTGAGGACACCACCACCACAGTCACTCACAAACTCTTCTGTGCTGGGGGTTGTGCAGGCCCCATGGAGAGAGCAGAAGGGCATCAGGGACCCTTCTGGGAGACAGAGGAAGGAGGTTGAGTCCTTGGAGAAGGATCTGGAATAACGCACCCTGTCAATGTTCTATGTTCCCAGTGCCCATGTGGCCATCAAGCCCCAGCTGGCCTCAGTGTCAGTCTGCTGGCATTGGCCCCACCCCCTCATGGTGTCACTTAAGGTGGAGCTACTCAAGGAGGACCTGGAAGATGAATAGGATTTGTACAGGGAGATATGAGTGAAAAGAAAGGGTGAACATTCTGGAAAAACTAGAACATGGGCAAGAAAACAGGGACTCTTCCAATAGGCCTGGGGCTTGGGATGGGAGTGGAGAGGATAGGAGGAGAAGCTAGAAAGGCTGTCATAGGGTTTGATTTTATCTGGGGTCTTTACAACAGGAGAATGTTGTGATCAGGGTTGTCCTTCAGGAAAAGATAGCACGATGTGAAAAGCTCTGAGAAATGTCCTAAGAAAGCTCTTTACCCATTTATCAAACATCCATGGAGCACCTAACACGTTCCATGCACTGTTAGGTGTGGAGAATCAGTAATGAATGACAGAGATACAGTTTCTGACATTGTGGAGCCTGTTCCATTCCAGGGGAGTTATTATTATTGAAGAATCAAGTCATAAAAGCCAAATATAATAAGCACATTCCAACTTCAATTGCTTAGTTGGCTGAAATAGAAGCATGCATTTGAATTATGTGTGGATCTCAGCATCCCAGCACCTACCCCTCCCAACCTTTGTCTTAAACTTATCCATCCCATGGAACTGAAAATAGCCTTTGAATAAACAGATTTCTTTTCAAGCTACGACTAAGTCAATAATTCACTTCTGGATTCCTAAAGGTACTTATTTGAGTCTGCTCTCCACACAGCCGAAGAGAGTATTCATTAACATTTGGGAACACAGTCTGGGGAAAATTTGATTAAAAGGTATTCTTTATATTTTTTAATCTAAGAATTCTTTTCTAGGCCCCCCAGGTTACTTGCTGAGCTCTGCTAATCTATAGTGTTTCATTAGTATTTATGAGCTTTGCATTATTAGCATTTCCAGAAAACAATCAAATATCTCCTTGGTGGTATGAATTAAAAGTTAGTGCTTCCATGGACTGTTTTGCAAAAGAAGCTACACTTGGGGCCCTAGGAATGTGCACTCTGGGAGAGCCTATCATTTTGTTGGCTTTCATGTATAGCTGAAAGTGTTTGAAAAGTAATTCATCTATTCTTGTAAAACCAACAATAGGTGCCAACAACCTCATTTGTTTGATTGTGATTGCGGGGGTGGGTGTGTGGAGAGAGAAGAGAGGAAAAGTTACTTTCAATTTCCCTGAAACCAAATATTATTTATTGCTGTATCCTTTGTAGTATCTAGCTGGGGAGAGAGAGCCATTCATTCATTCTTTCTGCCACAGGTTTCTATCTGCCCACATATGAGGTGTTGATGGGAAACAGTGATCTGGAGCCCTAACACCTGGGTTTGAGCCCTGGGTCAATCAGCATGATCCTAGCAAATGAACCTCAGCTACAAAACAAAGCTAATAAGCTTCCTTTGTAATGCTGCTGTGAAGATAAGGGACTCAATGTATTTAATGCATTTTATATGCTGTAAAATACTATACAAACCTAATTGATACAATGGGCAGGTATCTCCAGATAACAATGGACTAATTTTGGCCTTGAGCTTTTCTTCCCTATCCCTCACCCCCCAAGCCCAACCTCTACTGCTAAAGAACCTAGACTCCCGCTCCATTCACATGAAAAGGGCCCCATAAGTAATGTCCCTGCTGAGGGCCGGTCTGCAGGCTTGTGGCTGTAATTCTAGATGCTGGAAAAGGGTCACTTGGGAAAATCTGACAGTGTCTAGAGGATTGCTGAGCTTATAGGTGAGGCCAGCAGAGAGCAACTAGCCATCTGCAGGCCCCAGCCTTCCTCCCACGTTTTGGGACCTCTAGAAGTGTCCAGGGTGGGTCATTCCACAGGGAGGGCTGATCCAACTCCAAGAGCCAAAAGCTGCTCTGGGCTTGTGTCCAGGGCTGGCTCTGGGTCTGGTGTTCCTTCTGTGCTCTCCAAGAAGAGGCTGGGCCATTCTACTTTGCATCAGCCTCTCACTGGGCCTGTTTATTAGATGAAAGAATGCATGCGAAGCTCTAAAACATGTCTATAGATAGTAAAAACCTTTTAGAAGTGATAACAATAAAGATCACGATGGCACTCAATTAAAATCCCTGAGACCAACTTCAGAGAGAGCTCTAAATGGTACAAATTGTCGGCCTTCTTGTGGAGGTTGGATGAGGTGGGGTTCAGTTCTCTATCAGAACCTTAAGTGATTCCTCTTTTGCACCCTCCAACCCCTGGGTAT